GGAGCTAGTTTGGGGTTGAGCCCAGTGATTTTATAGATGGATACGATAGTTGAGACAATAAGGATTTTTCAAGATGTAAGAAGATCAATATTTCTGTCCTGACATTACTCAGGTGGTTCAAAGCCGAGCAGCACATGCTTTTCCTCACGCAGATTGCGGGGATGTTTGCGTGGGAGAGTGACGTGTCTCAACTTGGGTGGACGCTCATAGGATCTCAGGGATTTTCGCATACTACTGCTATCATTTGCTGTCTACTGTGTTCTATATCACTCTATGTTCATTTGTTTTGTACAGCAGTCTACATCATTCTACACATATATAATCATATATATATATATATTTGAGGCAGCTCTGCCTCAGATCGCTTGGATTGTTTGGATTGCTTTGGTGCTTCGGAGGCAGTGTCGCCCCTTGGTTATATACTTTCAGGATCTTTCAGGATTGATCAGTGGATGTTTGTGTTTGTTTTTTGGTTTCATTATGTTTCAGTGGGGCGTGCGTGGCGGCGGGCCGGCTTCCGTGTCCAAGCGTATGACATCGAGTTGTCCAGTAACCACGATATCACGACGTTTTCCGGTGTGCTTCTGTTGCTACAGCTGCTCACACTGTCCCTTGTTTGATGCTTTTTGAGTTCAATGAGCGCATTCCGGTACCTACCGAAGCTTGTTGCATCTTGCCGCTGTCGGGTGTGAACCGTGAGGCTTGTGGAGGGAGGCATTCGCATAGCGGGGCCTCCATGTAGCCTCTTTGTTGCGGCATCCCAGTCAGTGCACCGCCGCAGCGTCTCAAATTTGAACGGGAACTTGCAGAACGCCAAAGTCAGATGCAGCAACCGGATTTGGACCAACTTTGTGGCTCGCCCAAAGTAAACCCAACTGGCTGATGTATGTTGAGGTTTCCAGTTGATCCTAGTTCTGGTGTAGCCATGTTCCAGAACGGACAAGCGTCCCAGGCTGTGTGCCTACTGGTGCTACACAGGACCTATTGTTGGTTCATGTGATGATATGATTGTGGACGGTTTGTTTACTAACGTTTACTATATGATACTATATATATATCTATATATATATATATATATGAGTCAATTTCCATCGAATGTTTTTCCAGGATTCGCGAGGATGTCAAGATCGTTCTGGAACAGCCCTCTTCAAGCTGGGCCTTCAAGCTCCCGAAGATGCTTCAAGTTTCCAAAAAATGGAACCTGTGGCTTGCTTGATCTTGCCTGACATGTACGTTGATCTTTTTGAATAATTTTTGACTCACATGCCGCTCCTCAGCACATCAAAGGTCTCGCGTAACCACATGGATGGGTGCGTTTGGCCACGACCTCCTCAAGTGCAGCCACCTCCTCCTGAACCTCAGGACTACCGAGCAGCGGTCAAATAGTTGAAAGATGTTGAAAGAGCTTGAAAGATTTTAAAAGCATCTTGTGTGTGGCACGTTGCGGCCAGTAACGGTGAGCAGATATTGGGCCGAAAGATGTCAGCAGCGAAGCGTAAGGTGATCAAGGAGCATAGAGACCGTTCATGTTTGCGTTGTTTATCTCTCTTTTGACATGGCTTGATTCTGCAGGAGCGCTTTTTGAAGAGGCAAGAGCGTCGCAGAAACAAGAAGGAGCACGGCGCGGCAAGCGTTCAGCACCTTCTTGTGTATAGATTTGTACTCTTAAGATGTCTTTTTCATTTCGTTTGCCATCCCCCAGAAGTTGCCATACGTGGGCAGGAATACTACCGGCAAAGCTCCAATGGCTCCTGGAACGGTGGCAAAGATTTGGCTAGCAGCGCAGCATACACGGCTGGATTCTGCACAGCCTTGCTTAAGGCATGGCGTGCATGAAGCCAAACTTGGTAGTGTTTCGATCATTTCCTGTGCGCCAAGACGCCTTTTCGTTCCATGTTGTTGAGAATCTTTAGGTGTTGAATCTGTTGCAAGGTTTGTTGTCACTACCTTGCTTGCAGTACAGAAGGTGGTAGACAACAGGGGCCCTTGTACAGTAAATCTGACGTGATTTTAGTTCGCGATGCTGTTGTTCGATGATTTCCTGGACAAAAGTTTCCACGTGGGCAAAGCGTGCCATGACAAAGATTTGCCAGGAATGATGGGAAAATTGGAGGGGGGTTGAAGGATGTTCAAGGCATTGTGATGTGATGTGTTTTGCTACACGTGGAAGATGTTCCACTTTCTCATAGTTTTCTTTTTTTTCTGCGCTTAAGGCCAAGACGAAGGAAGTCTGCAAGACGGAAGGACTACAGCCTACTAATGCCTAGTACAACTTAATACGCACACGCTTTTATTTGTCGTTGATGGGACTGGTCATGCCATTTTATAGGAGCCTGAGGTAACAAAACTGATGGAACATGTTTGAATCCATACAAGATTACAATGGCAGCACCATATATCATGATATACTCTGAATTACTCTGATATACCATGTTTATGGCGTGTTGAGGGGATTGGTCTAGCGATTTCATAGGATGCTGGTAGCATTTATGCATTTGGTAAGCTAGAGCCTGGAAACTTAGGGTCCTGAAACGTGCGGAAACCATAGAAGATTATTTTGGTTTATATTTGTACCTTTCTCTGCCAGGACCTGATTCTGCTTCCACATCCTCTCGGCCTGTTCCAACACCTAGCCGTGAGACCTCCAAGCCATCCAACAAAACCAACATGGAGTATGAGGCCACGATCAAGAAGGCAAGCGCGATCAAACATCAGACCGAGACACAAGATGTCCAGTCTCGGCCGCCTGAGAAGAAACCCAAGATTGAGAACACACAAGATGTCCAGT